GTTGGACGTTGCGATCTCGTGCACATTGATAGAGTGCATCTGTGGGTACAAAACACTTGTTGACACCCTTGTTGAACCACGTTGGATGGGCCCCGCCCAAATCAGTCACAACAGTGACAAACGGTGTCGTACGGGCTGACGGAGCCCGTGTTTGACCGTTGGTGTCCAAGGACGACAAGATTTTGAGTGGCACGTCCTGACAGAGTGGATGGACACTAATGACCATGTCCGCCCGATGGTTGGTGGATCCGGATGGTCGTGCTAGGCACTCTTGAAAGGAATCAAAGCAAAAGAGTTCCATGAGGAATTCATTGACGGCCAAGCCAAAGGGTGAAGCCCCCAAGTGATAGAACCAATCCCATAAAAAGCTGTATTCGGCCATGATTTTGTAAATGGCAGGATAATCGGTAAACGGCCAGAAGGGACCATAATCGGTAAAGATGTCGACAATGTCGCATTGTATCTTTCCGGGATGCAGGACATCAAAGGCATCTCTCAAGGCATTGGCAGATGCTCGATGACCACCACCCGTGTCACTCATTAGGATCTGAATGGTACAAACATCCTCGTTGGCGGCAGCAGAGGCGAGTTTGAAAGATGATGATTGTACCGAGTGCAGTGGATGGCGAGTGGTGGTAGTAGTGGGAGAAAAGGCGGCGACTGCAGTTAGCAGCCAAAGGGCTGCCGTCAGATACCTTGGGATGGTCATTGCTGTCTGATTTTTGTGCAAATAAATAATCAAACTGCGAATTGGATTGTGTTTTGTGAACACTGCCAGATAGTCGCTGTAGCTAAGCCTGAATGCACTTGAGACGTCTCCTCCTGTGTGGCAACATCCAATGGGAGCGTGGTTGCTCTGATGCCGCTGAGTTTGCCGTTGTGATGCCGTGATGGATCTTCTTTTGCGGATGACTGTCAAAAGCTTCAGCTTTGGCACTGACGTCATCGTTTTGGGTGTCAAAGATTCTCGCAAAGCCAGTTTCTTCCTCCAACGGCCAAACCGAGTGGATCCCACGCCTCGATCACCGGCAAAGTCAGCTGGGGAGAAGCCAAGAGCTTCAACCTTGCACCATTTATTGATGCCTTTGGCTACTAACTCAAAGCAGATCAACTACTCGCCAGAGAGCACAATTTCCAGGTGAAGCTGTCCTATCCAGCGTTGTTTACACTTTTTAGTTCGTTAGGATGATGCGATTCTCCTTTCTTCTGTGCCTGGCCCTTTTTGTGGGTGGAACCACAGCATTCCAAGTTTCCACACCCATGGTTGCTGCCAGCCATGTTGTGCCCAAGTTCTTCTTTGGCAGCAGTGAGACAGCCCTGCAAATGAGCAGTTCCAACGAAGACCAAAAGAAGAAAACGAAAGGACCATTCGATGAAGGATTGCGAACCAAATTGGTTTCAGAGAGTATTGCACCCTGGAGGACTCTGCGATTGTTCCTATACGGATCATTGGGATCTGGTGCCGCTGTGGGTGGATTCATCACTCTGGCGGGAACATTGGCTGCCCTTAGTGGTGCCAGGACCGATGTCGACTTGAATACCGAGGTGAGTCAGTATCAACAACTGACTGACAAAAATTGTGACAAGTTTTTCTATTCTTGACTAACTAATCTTCTGAATGTCATTCATTATGTTTTCAGTACGTTAACTTGGCCATTGACTTTGGAGCCGTCTTGGCATTTGCAGTATTGGCCAAATTTGATTTGGACAAGGGCGCTGAATTGGAGGGAAAAGTCGACGAAAAGATTGAACGAAAACGACAACAAAAGGGAGTCGTCCGTGAAATGAAAAAGAGAGAAAAGGAACTACAAAACTTGGACTTGGAAATTCAAGTATCGCTCGATGGGACCACCAAAACGGCTTCGGTCCGAGATCTACAACTCGGGGCCAAACAACACATGATTATCGTCGTAGGCCCCAGAAAGGCTTGTCGTGATGCACTGATCGGGGCCAATTTGCTCAAAATGGATTTCGCCATGTAAGCTGCAAAAGTCGTATCGATACAGGTGTGCCAATGCTGCTATCATGAATTGCTCACGCCACGAAACTCTCGTTTTCCAGGTCCAACGTATTGGTGGTCCCTTATGATTTGGAGGCGCAGCAAGCAGGCGATTCTGGTGCTGCTGCAGGCTTTGGGGAACGGCCATCGTACGAAACGCAACCATACGTAGCAAGAGCCACTGGAGACGATTGGGCCGCATACATTGCAGAAGAAATGAAAGACGCGGTGGAGCAAAGTGGTGAAAATGTCAAGGAAGAGGGAATTGCTATTGTGGTGGCCAATACAGGAAATGTTATACGTCGTGGTGTTGGTACCGTTCCATGGAGGCAAATGGTCGAACAGCTTCAGACTGGCGAGGTCGTTGAGTGAGCAAAGCTCAACTCTCTCCTGAAATGACAAAAAGGCAGCGAATCAATCACACACGGAGCAAAACAGGAAGAGCTGCAGAGTACGCAACAACAACAATTGGCACAGACAACGACAACACGGCAAAATCTACGCGGCTACCCTCGACGGCCGTTCTGAATGCACGCATAGTATAGTAATAGCAGACTGTGTAAGACAGTCTTTCTCGTGCTATTATCGTTCCCATACGACACTACGTGAGAAAAAATGCGCCGCGTAAGGATCCTACTACTAGTGCCTTTTGTCGGGGAGCCTCCGAATGGAGCGAGCTGCCACCTTATGGAGCCACCACTCAAATGGCCATATCTCGACGAATGTTTTGGCCGATTAACCGTCTAGTTTCTTCTGAGCCTCCATCTGTCTTCGAATCAGGGAAGCGTAAAATCCTTCGCTGTCCTGGAGAAGGTCATCATGTGCACCAACTTGGACAACCTGGCCATCCTTCACCACAAAAATGGTGTCTGCATTTCGCACTGTTGAAAGTCTGTGCGCCACAATCATGACAGTCATTCCTACGAGTTTTCCAGCGCTAGCTAGGTCAGCAAAAGAGCAATCCAGTCCCGAAAAAACTGTTCCAGACGTACCTCCGCCATCAGCACCATCTTTCTCCCTTCCCCTGGCTATCATTTGATCAATTGCCTGTTGCACCATGTGTTCAGATTCACTGTCGAGCGCCGAAGTCGCCTCGTCGAGAAGCAAGACGGAAGGCCTTCAATGGAATCAGGGGCCGTAAAACAGACATGTTTGCCCTTGTCGGTTAGAAGAAGGAACGACAGAGAGACCGGCAAGAGCAAAGCACATACCTTCGAATGATTGCTCGCGCGATAGCAATACTGCAAACACCAAGCAGTACAAAGAAAGCCATCAGATATCGGCACTGCACAGGAATGTCGAATACAACTATAATTTGACATACCGCTGTTTCTGACCGCCACTCAGTTGAACCCCTCGTTCTCCCACTTCGGTTTCATACTTCAGTGGCATGCTTTCAATGAATGCTGACGCATTCGCCAATCTAGCGGCCTCTTTAATTTCTTCGTCTGTGGGTTCCCTGCTCGACCCTTCAAGGCCATATATGATGTTTCGTTTGATGGATCGCCCAAAGAGAGTGGGTTCTTGTGAAACTATGGAAACATGTCGACTGAGCCATGTTGGTGACAGTTCCCACACCTGGATGAAAGACCTTTGGGTAAGTATAGCGAACGGGGAACTCCACAGGAATGACAGAGGAGAGCATCGGATCAGGGGACGTTAACACAGCGCTTACCTCATGACCATCCAAGAGGACCCGGCCTTTAGACGGTTCATACAAGTGCTGAACTAGGCTCATGACACTTGGGTGTAGCGAGGAACAGTGCGTGAGGATGGCGGCGTCATAAGCGGCTAGAAAGCAAAACAAAGGAACGCATGCATCCTTATTTCAATTCAAGAAAGGAACAGCAAGCAGCAACCGAATATTCACTCACCTGCTCTTGCCACCACCGCTTGACCCCACAAGGGCAACCACTGATCCCGGAGGGACCTTCATTGACAGATTGTTGAGAACACAGCGCTGTGGCCTGGCTGGATAGAACAGCTCCACATTTTCAAGGGATATTTCACCCCGGCAGGACTCGGGACATAGTCCCCTTTTTCTGTGAGTTGTCGTTTTCAGGGCTGTGATGCCGGTGATACCACCAGCGCCGTGCGAAGAAACTGGTTCTTGAGTGTCCCCGTCGGCTGTTGGAACATGGTACCTTGGTTTTCGGTGCATCAGCTCGAATACCTTATCAGCAGCTCCCACTGCTTGAGTCAAAGAGGAAAAGATGTAGCCAATTGAGGCAAAAGCGTCTGACAGGGATTGAAGATACAAGATGAAACTGACAAGATCCCCACTGCTCATGTCCCCATTCCTAATCAACAACCCGCCATAAAAGACAATCACAGCAATGACCAAGTACGGCAAGGCCGTTACAATCGTACAATAACCCAAATATGCCACAGCGGCTCGAAAGTTCAGATCAAGATACTGGCGCATGAATCCTTCAAAAAGACGAAGCTCCCCTTCGGACGCATCAAATGCCCGTACTGTAGGCATAGAGCCAATAGCAGCCTCACTAATACTGTTCCCGTCAGCCAACTACAGGAGCATATCAAGTCAGTGCCAGAAGCAGAACAAGACCAGCAACATGTGCGAACTAGCAACATACCTTCTTTTGCATCAGCTTCGTAAGTGATCTCAAAAACTGTCCATACCATTTGCTCAAGGCTGTGACAACCGGCACCGAAATGAATGCAATGATAGACAGCTGCCAGGATAGAACAAACATGAAGATAAGCACACCGATTGCTTGAACGACTGATCGCAGAAAGACGTTCACATTCAGAGTGACTTGGTCTCCGACTAGTGTAGTATCGCTACTCAATCGACTGGTGATGTCTCCCGTTTTTGTCGTGTCAAAAAAGCCAACGTCTGGTTCATCCAACCATCAAGCCGTGGTGAGTACAAAGAACGAAGAGCCGCAGTGGACTTGACACACTATATTTGTCACGTACCTTGAGTGAGCAGGGAATCCATCAACTGCACACGCAACCTGACATTCACTCTCCCTCCCACCAGAGTAAACATGCTGCCACGAATTGCGGAAAACAGCCCACAAAGAATCGATGACAGGACTGGAAAATGCAAGCAGATTGACCGTGTTAGGCGGACAGCTCCGTTTACTTTCTGAGCCACATGTGGATTGATTGCCATTGTGATCGACGCTTCAAATCGTACCTAAGAGTTTGACATTGCTGATAAAACCAGGCACATCAAAAATGGATTTGTCTCCATGGTCGCCTTTTCCAGAGAAAGCAGTTGCTAATGCGTCCAAAATCTGGCCAGTGAATCTTGGGATGTACACCTGTGCAACGGCCGCGAGGAGCAAGAATACGAATGCCACCGCAATGTATTGAATATCGGGGTAGCACATGTAGAGCAAGTCCTTCCAGCCTGCTTTGTAGTGGGCATCTCCTGAAATGTCGCTGGCCCCTACAACTTCATTGGCGGATTGTTCTTCTTCTCCATTTGTTGCAGTCTCTTCATCGTTCGTCGTTCCATTGATCCTTTCTTCGTCATTTCCTTGTCCGTCATCGGACAGAAGTGGAATGGACAAATGTGATCCCACTCGTCGGAAAAAGGTGGGCCGTTCATTCTGCAAAAGTTGATTGCCATATCCTGCTGCTTTTTGACTCATGGAATCAATGTAGCACATTTCCACAACCGACAAGAAACTGGCCAGAGCCACAGTAATCCAGAACAAAGGGTGGCTAGGTTTGGAATCTTGATAGAGACCAACTTCAACGTCCAATCTGGCTAGGCACTTGGCAATGGACAGGAACTGTGTCACAAGACAAAAGAGTTCACAAGAAAATGCAGGCCTGGATATGAAGCGCTTGATCCATGGCAAGAAAGGCTCTTCTAAAGCTTCCATTTCCAGTTCCTCTCGCGATTTCTTGTCGCCATTGGGATGACGCAAATCAAACTGAAACTCTGGACGGACTTGGGCCCTTTCATAGGAAACAACCAACGATACCAGCCCGCAAAGGATCCGAATTGCTGCCAGTAAACCCACATCCGCAAGAGAGCCCCAGAATGTGTAGTGATCTGACATTAGACCTTCCGCTTGAGGGATCCTGGTGAAATTAAAAATGTAAGGGAAATAGCCCAAGAGAAAACTGAGTCGCTCCAGCATGACATCCGGCAACGTACCATGGAAACCAAGGTAAAAGCAAAACAATCGAAACAACGGCGTCAAATCCGAAGAAACCAACCAGCCACCAAACATGAAAGTTCTTTGGCGAGGTGCCTCCTCCCTCTGACGAATCTGCGTTTGCTTGTTCGTTGCTCATTTTTCTGGCTCTCTAATCTTCTCCTGTTCGACTGATTTGTGAGAGCTCAGGGATTCTGAATAAAACGATGAAGAATTCAATGGTTTCTCTGAAAGTCAGGATACCGCTCAGGGCTCTGGTACTGCTCAGGTCAAGATATCACGTCTGGCAGGAAGTCTTTGGCGTATCAGGGAAGGGCTCTGTCTCTGCCAGTGGTGATCTTATCTACGGTTCGCAATACGGTAGGTATCAGAGAATCCAATCTGTTGTTGTTTGTGACCAGGACGATCTGGTTTATGCGTTGGTTTTCCAAAATGATCAGAACAGATCAGTCGCGATTTTGCCGCCTATCGCCATGACTCTAAGCAGAGCAATGTGGAAGCACACTTGCTCCTGCCTGGACTGGTACGTCACCGTAGATAGAGTTAGGGTTTTCAAGGGGATGATCAGTCGGTAGGAGCCAATCCAAGCCACACATTGCATGTAGCCACCAATCGAAGAGGACAATGGCGTCCTTTTCTTTTTCTTTTCTTCCGTTCGAACGAACGGCTACTACTATGGCTACTGCACTGTTACCAGCCCCGCTACCGCCACTGCTACTACTGCTACTATCGACCTTTGGTCCGGTTGCAGGAGCTCTGTTATCTGTCGAGATCGAGTGCTTTTTCCACTCGATCCGTGTGCTTTTTCCACACGTCGTGTGCTTTTTCCACACGAAACTCTCAGGCCATGATGCGTTCACCACCTGGTGTTCTGCTAGCCACTGCTATGATGCGTTCACCACCTGGTGTTCTGCTAGCCACTGCTATGATGCGTTCACCACCTGGTGATCGCTAGCCCCAACGGCGAGTCACCGACTGGTGCTCCCACCAACCCTCCATCTCCTCTCTTGAGCGACACCAAGAACTGAACTGGTGCTTCGACCCCTCGAGTGTCTCCTCTCCTCCTGGCTGCCGCTGTTGCCGTGCGTCCCGACTCTAGGGCCATGGTCGATCTTCGCGATTTTTCGCGATTTTCAACAACAACACCAGATTGGCCCTTAAGTCTTCGACTGATCGGCCCCTAAGTCTTCCCTGGACTGCCGCCTAAGTCTTGCTCTCTTGGCAAGATTGGTGTCCCTTATGTCTTCTGACCGGATTGCGTCATTCGCCGATGACGTCAGTCGCCGATGACGTCAGTCGTGACCGGACGTGATGACGTCACGTTTCGTGACGTGTTTTCATCCGTGCTTTCGAAAATTTTTAAGTCGATGCATGAAAAGTCCTTGCGCGAAGACGATGCTTGAAAAGGACCTGGGGGCCTCTAAGTCTTTGACTTTGCCCTCTAAGTCTTTGTCCCGCCCCCTATGTCTTCCACCCACAGATGACTTGTTGCGCGACGGGACAGGTGGTGGCTTTGGTTGGTGATCACTGTTCCACACCACATACTACCAGGCTACACCACACCCTTGCATTGATATCCTGACAGCATGGTACCTGACCAGGCACCTGTGTCAGAGATTGAGGTTGACTCATTGCATTGGATCCCCAGTTCAAAAGCTACTTGGCTGGTAGCCTTTTGTATTCTTGGATTGGGTTCAAGCCCTGTGCAATCCTACAGCAACAGTACTAGTCTGATCTACTGTGGTGGTGGCCCTGGTTCCTCCCATTCCAGGCTCTGCAGTGCAACACTATGAGGTCATAATCCCAATCCTGAAAGCTTCTAACCAAGCCTTCCCTGATTTGGACCACTGCATCCTGCCTCTTGTTGCCTTCCAGTTGCCTGCCTCCCAGTTGTTGCTTCCCTTCCAGTTGCTGTCCTGTTGTTGTGAGTCCTTGCTTTGTCCAGCCCCAGCCCCAGTTCTGTTTGCCTGGTGCTTTTGCTGTTGGTCCTGCCTTTATCCAGTTCCTGACTGTTGTTGCCGCTCCCCAAAAGCATTGTTGCCGACAGTTCATTGAGTCATTGAATTGTCCCACCAACGACACTTCAACACTCCTTCCAGCACCATCCCCAGCCATGTCTGCTGACCTTCTAGTTCGTGGCAAGGCCCACGAGATCAAGTCCGTCTCCAAGGCTATCTTGGAGCTGACTGATGAAGCCACTCGCCAGTTTGTTACCACCAAGCTCCAGGACCTGTTTGATCCCATGGGATTCAGCGGTCAGAGCCTTGATGCGGCACGGCTCAACCAGTCGTTTTCCCTCCAGTCGGTGTGTATCATCGACGGCAAGGTCCAGCCCCTGACTGCACCGACTTTGGCAGAGAAGGACAATGTCGTCTCTGTTATCGCCAGCATCAGTGATACCATCGGTGAGAGTATTCCCGTTCGTGTCCCCCATGATGCATTTACTGGTTTCGTCACCTCTTTGGCTTCCAAGCAGGTCGTTGACGACTTGAAGCTGGTCCACTTTGAAGCCAATCCGGCTTCGGAGCTGGCTGCTTCTGCCAGTACGGAGGAGAACCCAGTCGTGGTTGGCATGGGAAGCCCTCCAGTTCGAGGGTGCCACTGCCGATGCAAAAACCCAGCCCTGGCTGGTGCTGTTGCCACTGATCTTACCACTCCCGAGGGGAGTTCAGTTCGACTTTGCGGCCACCCTCGATTCCGATCCTGCAACGGTGTCGAGCTGGCCTTACGCCCAAGAATGGTTCCGTGCCCAGCAATACCTGGCAAAGCGTTGTGACAGTCGTTCTGTCACAGGCGCTGGAACTCTCTTCAAGATGGATTCCGTTGACATCACCTCGTGGACTGACAAGCACACACTTGTTGACCCTAGGTCCATCCAGGCCTCGGCCATCCAGATGACTTTCAACGACCTCGATTCGGCCCTAGTCAAGGCCACTATCCAGTTCAGTTCGAATGCTCTCTGGAAAGAGCTTGGTGCGACAGTAGAGG